GTGTAATTTGTGGGTTATATGAATGAGAGTTTGGGTTGGGTATGACAAAATTACATATATACCCTGAAAATGACGGCAATCCCCTTTGAGTGGACAATATTTTGTCAATTTCGGTAAAATATGCAGGAAATTTGACTTTGAGGCAAAGTGCAACAAAAATATATTTTGCAAGCGGATGTCTTTTTTTTTTTTTTTTCTAGGGGGAAGTTGCAATTTTTTTAACTTTCTAAGGGGCGAAGTGCAATTTGTCCTTAATTTTTCTTTTTTTTCCATGTTGCTTGTAGACTCTGAAGATACTGAAAGTATCTCTTGCGTCAACCTCTGCTCTAACCAATTGTGTGAACATCAATTCCTTGTTGATGAAACAATGTAAGATAAAACGGGAATGAACATTACGGGCATTGATTAATCAGCTAGCATGCAGTCACATTTGTAATTTCGTTTATCTAAAGAGGCGACTAGGCGTACTTCTTATTTTAAGAGCATCGATAGTAGTGTTAGAATTATTTCGTGCAAATTAATTATAAATTTGTGTCCGATAAATCCCAGATTCAGTTTTAGCTACTGTTCTACTGTTTTACGAAGAGTTGCAACAGTTAATGGAACAGTAATAAAAAGACACAAATTTTAAAGTGGTTCGGATACAATTGTACCCTACATCCACGGGGACCTGCAAATGAAATTCACTAATTTTTAGTTTTACGAATACAGTAATAGGACTTAATCGAAAATGCAAAGACTCCCTCTTTGTCGACGCCGTTCTTGTATCCTACGCTGAATTGTGAATCTTCACTTTGCAGCACGTCCCTTTCCGCACGGTTGAAATTCCTTCAACGCTGAGTCCCTCAATCGGCGGATCGACCTCCTCCCGAGATCTTCTGAGTTCTCCTCCCGAAGAACCGATCTTCTTTTCGCGTGAAAGAAGCAAATCTTTTGCTGTGTTTTTCTTCTCGAATAAGATCACAACTCAGGAGCAGCAACGTAAGAGCAGAAAAAGTTTTTCTCTCAAATAAAAGGGACAACGTATAAAAACGTTGATGCTGCCCTTCTTATACTTCCTTAGGTGAATTAGTAGAGCCCTACAAAAATTAGAGCCCATTAGGTTAGAAATACTCTTCACGTAAGGAACAAGGAGTTATGTAAAACAAGGAAAGTCTTAGTCAATTAAATTCCTTGTTAATAAAACACTTAGGCAATTAAATAAATTAATGACAAAATAAGAGTTTAAAGAACTAAGGAAACTTCCCTAGCTTTTATACACGTTTTTCGCACACGTGTTGAAAAACCGAAATAGAATCCTCTCGGATTCTAACAATCTCCCCCTTTGTCATCTATTTATTATAATCAAGTCCTCCCCCTTGATCAAATACCTGACAAAACATTAGACTGCATAATA